TAACTGTCATTTATTGCATTGTTGAACTGTATATATATATTTGCTGAAATAAACATGACATCAAGAGAAAATCCGGTGGCGTGTTCGCTTCGGCCAGAACGCACAATTGAACAACCTGAGCGAATCTTTAACTTCTACTGAGTCACTGGAAGGGGCATTCAACGCTCAGGTGGGAACGGAGAATTTAGGCGGGCTGCGTCTCGGGGTAGCCTGTCCGGACTCCGTACACCTGGAAAATTCACATACTTACCTGGATACCGTCTCCAGAGGGTCCGTCGGCCCTTCAGGCGCATGCGCGCAACAAAGTTCAGCAGTTGGGGAGCGCGATCTGGAACAGCGTGTCGTGGAATAGGGTTCCGACGCCGTTGGGTTTTGTTCAGAAGCCCCGCCTCTTTTCTACGTGACGACTCCTATAAATTGAAGCGACGCGCAGCTTCCAGATCCAGTCTTTCGAACGCGAGCGAAGCGAACGGACGACCAGAAGTCAACACGGCGACTTCCCTCGTGTTATTGTATTCCACCAGCTCGACGAGAAGGCCAGTCTCGAAAATAAAAGGCCATCCCCACGGCGGTTACCTTACGTATAGGTAACCAGCTGTTAAAAATTCATAGGTAATTTTAAAAATAATTCGCTAGCGAGGGATCGTGTGCGAGAAAAAGTTTCATATCACCAAGTCTGCGGTACAATAGTTATCGACCGACGTGGGAGTTAGCGACCGGCTAACCTACGGAGAATCCATTTGGGTAATAGCGGTACCAGCAGCGGCTGAAATTACATAAAAAGCCCAAAATGGAGCCGGATCGAAGACACGCGCTGTCGTCGGAGCGGCGTGTTACGTCACTCCGACGTTCTAGTGGGCGGAGCCTAACTGTATGGCACCGAACCATATAAAAGGCGGGGGCACCCGGCCTCCGCAGCATGGGTAAAGAGCGATAATCCCGCTCGACCCCGCTCCATCTGAGGTCATTTTTCCTGCCAAGGATATTGGCTCGCCTCCGCAGCTCACTCTCGCCACAGCCTCGCACCGTGCAACATCGCATCAAAGCTTTGCACTGAGATTTCCTGTTATTACCAAATACCTTGTTTTATGCCTTTACCTACCTCATACTCCCGAGAGTGACTCCACAAACAAACCAACCGAATAAAAAGAATTCAAAATATAAATAAAAACAAATAGAAAAAGATTAAATAAATTAAAAATAATAGAAAAGGTCAATAGGAAAGGAAAAGAAAACAAGAAAAATAAAAAGAAGTTAAAGAAAAGAAAAAGAAATAGTAAGAAGGGAAAAAGAAAGCTCCCACGAAAAAAGCCAAATACGCAAAAGAGCCGGCAGGCCAATATTGTGGAAAAGAGCCAAAGGGCCAATTACACATTCACACACTCACACACATATCTCGGCGGCCAGTCTAGGCTGTCCGCCAACCTAATAAAAAGAATTTCGTGTTTGAAAGAATTCGTAAACAAGGTAAATTCGAGTAAATCGCAAAGCACACTACTCTACGAGGTCACCGATATGGAGAACCGCGACGTAACGGCATTCAGGGCTTCCGGCGGTTTCCAGGAGGGGCTTCGAAGGAGACAGAGCTGTCGTATTCCACCCTTCGAGCGAGCTTCAGGATTTCAGAACACCCAGTATATTCATAGAAGTAGTCTTGTACCTACGGATATGCCGGAGACCGCTGAATTGGAAAGGAGGCGAAACAATCATATTCACCTACCTTTCCAATCCAAACCAAAAACCCGCCACGGTTGCGAAATCAATCGCCGTCGGCCGGGCAAAATGAAAAAGCCTCTATGAGAGTCTTCAGACATCGATCCTCCCGGCGATAGCGCTTCCCCAGCGCTAAGACCAATTTCACCGATGTTTCCAATGTCACCCGCATCGCGACCGATCTCGCCTGGGTCTGCCATCCCGGCGCGCAGTGACCACTGCCGCTGCTCTCGCAACCTGCAGTCGAACCCCGGGACGCTTCACGATGACATTTGGAAATGGCCATTAGAAATTT